ATACTCCTAAGGTGAGTGTAGCCGTCAAATAACCCACTCAACAAAGTTCTAAATGGATTTACAATGTGACATCATTTCGACTGGCCAATATTTATTTTGGCGTCACTCTTATTATAATATATATGCATGGTAAAACATATTCAATTCTATTGTTTTTGTTTGGTCAAAAATAAAACATATTCAATTCATTCGACAACTTTTATAGATCAAAAGAAATTTCCAACAAATATATGTTGTAACCGAAAAGAATCATCATGAGGAAACATTAATCTTACAACATTGATTGTTTGGTGAATAATTTTAGTTATTTTTAAAAAGTGCAATGTGCGACAGTTCTTTCTGCATTTGATCGATTCTGAAACTCGCCTACAAAATTAATATGATAAACTGCATGGGTTTAGGAATCACGTATCATGCTAAGGATGACAAACCATCTAATGATGATGACCTCCGATAAAATTATTTTTTCAAATAAACTATGAATGCATATAAAAAATAACAATAAATTTATCCAAACGAAAGCGGTCGAAAACCAGCAACTATAAAAAAAAAACCGCGGAAGAAAACTGCAAACGAATACCAAGACCAAGTCAGAGAAAGAGAAAAAAACAGTTTTCATTAAATAAATTATACCACACACACCGTACTTTACAACTGAAATAGTTGTTGGTGTGTAAATTAAACTTTTTAAAAATCTTTGAAGGGTATCGTAATATGTAAATTTTAATGAAAAACAATAGTTTTTAAATACCTTTTAAATATAATTTTTTTCAAAAACTTGTAAATATAACAAAAATACTGTACGAGTGATTAATTTGGTCACTGGTTCGAGTTGGACAGAGAAAAGGTGCGAGCAATAGTTTACATAATTATTATTTCGCTCGCCCATACGGTTTGAACAGAAAATGTCATGTGTAAAGTAGCCAACATGGAAAATATATTATTATAATTTTGCTTGATACATCTATGGTCATATTAGATAGTTCAGTATATATTATATATAATTTTATTTTGTACTCTATTTCATTGAAATGTCAAGAGTGATACACCAAAATGTGCCACTAGCATAGAGCCGACCCACCACATGGTCATGCATTATTTATTTATAATGTGGA